GGGGTGTGCGATAGACTTACCTCCACGTGGTGCACCCTGGGCAACGTATACTCATACGACAAAAAAATTTATTAGCTGACAGTTGAATTCTCACTTCAAATTACCATCACCCCACTATATGTCATATTCGACTAATTCCAATGTACTCACCTCACCTTTTTTCAACCTTTGCGTCTGTCTCTTTTACATCTTTAAAACACTCTTCTGTTCCTCCCCCCCCCCTCTCTCGACTTTTTTCACTTTGATGTTCCTTCCCCTCTGTGAGGCCTGAAGTCAGACAAAGGACGCCTGCCATTTGATATAATGTAGCCCTTAACCTTACCGTCTGCTAACCAAATTTCCGATAGACTAAATTGACTCGATATTAAAAATGAATTCTTGTTCATCCTTTATCTCTGCGGAAATTTTATAATTAAATTGCAGTGGTAAGAACGACTACAGAAGTACATCAACTTGACAGCAAGTCTTGAAACAGTGGATATTTTCTCACTTGTTTGTTTCATGTGAGGCTAAGACAATGATTCCAGCGTGCACACGTAATTAGTTCCTTAATGACCTGACTACATCACCATTATCTTCTGAACGTTAAATGTTTTCCTGTAATGAAAATTATCAAAAGTTTGTTACACACCTCCTAAGCTACAATAATTTGTAGAAATCAATCAATCAATCAATCCAATCAATAGAAAGCCTTCCAAATAAACAGGATATTTTATTGTTGCTTATACAGACTCAAACATCTAAACATTTCCATGGGGACTGGTGGAGATTCGCTACTTTCTGCTTGCTCGACTTTGAAATTGGTAGTGGTGTCTGTTACGGCATCACGTGTTTATTTTGTCTGAATTTCACTGGGTGTGGATAAAGGTGTTGGCAGATAAAACCGAAGCACGTTGTCTTAAGACTATTTTTCCAAAAGGAAATTTACACAGAGTTAAAAGAGAGCGGAGGTGAATCTGAGTAATTCAACGACCGTTTTATGCTTTGGCATTGAAAAAAACACACTTTAACCCTGTCGTTTTCAGTTATTTTTAATGGTTAGTATTTCAAGCTTAAGGGTAGAACTGAGCCATGACCTGTTAAAGTTGATTTAATTAGCATGAAGCCAAAGAATGATTAGAAAGACTTTTCTAAAACAAATTTTTCAAGGGTCAACTGTTATTTTCCACTATGTGTGTGTCTAGGCTATTGTAAACGGCAATATTTTAACCCCTCTCTTAAATGGGGGGAGAGGAATTTTCAGTACAATTAGTGATGTAGGAGTCGTCACATTTTGGTTGCTGATGAGGGTCATTTCGATCCCTAATTAGCATAAACACGAGCATGAAAATGAAGTGTGATCTTACGAAACTAAACACGAACTGAGTTCACTGCAGTAAAAAACCTATTGGAGACTCATTAATGTGGAAAATAGAGCAAATCTGAGCTTAAATAAAGTGCGAATCTTAGCTTTCCTTTCTTCTACGTTCAAATGAGCCAGAACGAACTTATGAAATGCATGAGTGCACAATCAGATCCAGGTCAATTTCCACCCGAAAACTCTACTTAGCCTTCTAATTTAAATTGATATGGGTTTTCTTCAAAGAGGTGGTCTTTCAATAGATGCTATATTGAAAGCAAATCACTAACCAGTAGTCTAACTTCCGTTACTTTGTTTTTGAACTAGTAATAAGCCCATTTTTGGACTATCTTTAATTAGAATTCATTAACTCATTAAATGATCCTCATAAAACAACTATTGGTCCGCTTTTGAGATAAAAATGGTTATTTTACCACTTTCATTAAGGTGACCATCATTTTTGTTTAATATACATCATCTATAATGGTTTGCGCAGCCAAGGCGCAAACGGTGTGTGATCCATTAGCACTAGCCAATGGGCAAAGGCATCGTTCTTGCGCGGAACTTTACGTTGTCACGTGAAAAAGAACGGTAAGCAGCGAGCACAACTGGGGCACACACAGCCAAGTCTTGTGCCTATTGCCTTGGCAGCCAACCCGCCTACGAGATATTTCCAGCCAGCACCTACACCCCTACTTTAATGGCATAACGAATAACGAAATCGGCTGTGTTCGTTCGATTTATCTTTAGGCCACCCAGATAGGTAGGTGATGGAGGGAATGCCTACCGCCGAAATTATCGATTACCTATCTTCATTTAACCACTTCTCAATAAAGAGATTTTTGGTTTCAATGTTCAGTTTAGGTGATTTTTTCCGTTTAAAAACAACTAATTCACATAAGATTAATACGAGGGTTTAAACTGATGAAGTGGGAACGAAAATGCAAAAAAAATTTTGGAAAATCTTTTCCTGAACGCCTATTATCGCCGTCAACTTTATTGTAAAAGAACAATTGGATTAAATTTTTGATCATAGGTTATGGCTCTTAAAGCGTCTCTGGGTGTGTCAATATCTCTTTTAGAGAGTATTAAAACTGGGTCACACGGGGACTTAGAGAGCCACTTTGCCATGTTATTTATTGCAATTTGATCACACACTCTGGAGAATTGGCGAGCGTGCCCCCTTAAGCGCTTATCAGATTCCAAAATGCACACTCGTATACAGGATGACAGAGGACCTTCAAGAGGAGAGAGTTAAATTGCTCAATTGACCCCTTCACACCCGAATTATTTTTTGAAAAATACCCCCCAACCGCACTCATGTGTGTCTCACAGCAGACTGATGCCGTTGACGTGTGAGTTTTGGTGGTGTATCAGGCGAAGGTTATAGTCGTATTCAACATGTTTAAAACAGCGATAGCTAGTATCAATGGAGTTTATCTTGAAAGAGGACCGTACGATCCTAAGGGCATTAAAGGGATAGGTGAGTAGAATCATTATCCTTGCAGAATACATACTTGTCCACTTTATTGCTATAAAGCGAAAAGAGAATAAGTTTCATGATCATGGAAAATTGTAGACATAGGCAAATTGATTTAGTCTCTATGATGGGGTGTTGTTGTAGCGAAGGCATAGCATAGATCAAGCTGCTTAGCTCTCACGCACACCCACAACACTGCTAAATGAAACCACATACACGATAGAATATGCCATTAGTTGGCTGTTCACTTCCACAAAGCGTGATCAAGACTCGCGCGTGCATTGCCAACAGACACACTAACCTTGAAATGCGTACGTATGCCTATTCACCAATCCCCACGCCCTACTACAACGACCGCACGTTCTTAGAGCTGACTGATTGGTCCTTTTGCGTGTGCACACCCACTGCGCACTCATCTAGGCCGTTAATGACTAGACGGGTTGACTTACACACCGAGCATCAAATGGTATATAAAGAGCCGTCCCTTACCTGTCGAGCCTTATATTCTGTTAGTGCGCTCATTGTTTTTAGCGAGTATTTACCTTAACGTCATTATGAGTCTGGGTATTGTGTCTAAATTGCTGATGCAGTCTCCAAGCACTGCTAGCATTGATGTAAGCAATATTACAAAATGTAGTCCCAAGCACACACTCCCCATGTCTGAATGTTGCTAACCTTTGTATGCTTTGTTGATGTGTATAGATGCTTCAGCTTAGAACAGCTGAGATTCTAGTCTCAATGTCTGAGGGACTTGTGTTCGATTCACCGCCCCAGGGTAACCCGTGTCCTCCTCCGCTTAATCTCTCCAAAGGAGCTACCAACTTCCAACCGGCAAATGATGTCAGTGGTCTCGACAATGATGGTGAACTTCATCGAAGATTAAAATTCAAACTCCATCGAACCAAACCTCATGAAACTGCAGCCAGTAACCTGAAGCACAAAGGAGCTGGCACTGAACCGGGCTCCCGTTTAGCTGAAGTAAGTTGCTTTAACTCATTTTGATGACCTCAATCCGCTTTTACTTTTTAACATTTATTATGCACCTTCTAGATCCTTCGTGAGCAGAACTGTGAAGGAAGAATTCCTGTACGTCGGGCCTCAGCGGATCTTATTGATTCAAGCGTCTTCTTAAGATTGATGGCCCACCGTCAACAAATTCAACATCATGTTCAGGAAAATCCAAATCCCTTCAGTGTTGTCTCACCTCAGCCCTCATCCTCAGATGATAGTGTTTCTCCCAGTTCAACTCCTGTAAGTATCCTATACTCTCTGCTTGTTTGGTCCTTCTTTAGATAATATATTTATGAAGTATGTTCCCTGTTTATAGTCATCATCCCATTATACCGGCCCAGAAGTAGAAGAATCCTCTTATTCAATGACCAAAAACCATAGCTGTCCCTTTGATCTCCATGCGCTTTCCCTCAATCCCACACCAGGCTTCGTAGAAAGACGAGCGTCAGACCCCTGTCCTACTTCATATGCTGCTCTTCAGAAACAACAAGCTGCAGCACAGAATCCTTCCAGTGCACCTACAGGCAGAGTAAAGACGCATCATTGCACTTTTGCTGGCTGTGATAAAGCCTACTTCAAGAGTTCTCATCTGAAGGCCCATGTTCGAACCCATACAGGTGAAAAACCCTATGCCTGTGATTGGGAGGGTTGTGGTAGGCAATTCGCTCGATCAGATGAACTATCGAGGCATAAACGAGCTCATACTGGCGAACGAAAGTTTGTTTGCACTTTCTGCCCCCGACGATTCAGTCGAAGTGACCATCTTAACAAGCACCTGAAGCGACATCAATTGGAAGGTGCGGCGGTAGCTCCTAATGGAATAATGAATCCACTGCGCCGAGGGTCGATAGATTTACCAGTCTCCATGATCGCTAATGATCCCCTAACACAGGTCTTGTTCAAGCCCTGGTCAACCGAATATCCTTTACCGAAGTGATATCCGCACTCTTCACATTGCAGAAAGTGTTGAATGCGGTTTTGGAGGACTTATGAGGAGAAAAATCTTGAATACCAAATACAAATCATCGTGTTACCTGAATCGTCTTTTTCATCGAAATAAAGGAACGCATGTGTACAAATTATCCCTCACTCATGTCACTTCAAGATCGGCTATGAGTTAACTCGTTCTTGAGGTTGCATTCTAGTCAAGAAACAAACGTCTGACCAGATCCCCTGTGTTAATTTTCTTTGTTTCGCCCGATGTGAATAAAGTTGTATAGTCTTACCAATTAACCAGTCTCTTTATCTAAGATTAAGTATTGGGGGTACTTGAACTTAAGAAGGGAGTAAAATCTGCGTAAGGTGCACCTGTACCTAAAGTTCGTACAGGGCTCTATCTAGATCAGCCTCTGAGCTCTGATATAATTTTAGAAACCGTGTTTTTATGGGAAATCAATAACCTTCAGTGGGTCTTAGAAAAGTTTAGCTTCCGTTAAAGAGATCTCAAACGAGTATTTTAAAATTGATCAAGAATAGTCTTTTCAAAATGAAGGGTGAAAACTATTAGATTTAACCATTTTCTAGAATAAAGGATATCTTGCCTTCTTTCTTCCCACGCGCCTGATGACAGGGCGCAATTTCACAACGGTCACACAGGCGAAACTGAAAGCTGACCTTGAAACAACCAATAGGAACCTACCTAACCTTAGGGCTTAAGGTTTATGGCTTTGGCTGAAAACGCAACAGGTTGCCTTCTTATTTAAAGCCCCACCTTAAATATTTTCCCATTATATTCCGATCTTCCCTAAATTAGGTCAAACACACCCTAGATATATTCACATTCTCCCTCACCATTTCCATTAAAAAGAATAGCAAACTCTACCTCTCAATTAGTGCAGATTTCTTATTCAACCTCTAACCCAGTTTCTTGCTAAAACTAAGCTGTTACCCATCATCTCTGATGAAATGATATATCAAGCTTTAGTTAGCAAGGGGTTCTCGCAATTTTTCATTCGCGAGACCATTAATCCAATGAGTACAAGTTAACTTCTTGGTATGGAAGGCAAAATAGTGTTCAACTTTAAACTATTTGTACTCACTAAATAGTTGTGTACAAACTTACTTACAAATTTCTACCCTAAAGTGAATTTTCAGAAAATTATTCGCCATGAATAAACATTTTTTGAACTTATATTATAAATGACTCAAGGTAATTAGTTGTTGCCTTAGATTTTACCCTGAGTTTCTTTAGCTTACACACGCACACTCTACAATGATTTGTGTTAGTATGCAGAGGTTCCTTTTCTCAAGCACCAATGCGAATAGGTTCCACCATTTCCTAGAGGTTTATATCTAGGGCAGATTTTAAAGTATCCATTCTCTACATGTAACTGAATTTGCACAGAAACCAATACAGATACATTTAGCGAACAACCGCATATTCACGATGATTTCCTCTTATTTATATAATTTTATTCTTTGAAACAATAATCGACATGTATGGGAAGAGTGTAGGTTCACCCACAGCCCGGTGCAAAGAATCGTGCCGCTACTGCACGCACCAAGCGCTATTTTAAAAATCCGAGCGCGCACACCACGCCCGAATCACGTGAGGTAGTCATCCTGTCGCACAGTATGCAGTCAGCTGCTTGGACGCTATCCACATTTTCGGCCTTGAGATCAGCCAATTGGGACGGAGCATGTTTTGGTCTCGAGACCAATGCTAATAAAAGTGCAAATATCATTTAGTTTGCCTCAGTTGCCAATTTTTTTCTGCATTTTGATTGCTTAGAGTCTCATCGGTTGTCACTTTTATCAGAGAGATGTCTTTCTGAAGGTTGATGCTTTGGTAAATGGTGTGCATATAGAGCAAGTTTCTCAGAAGTCATTTTGGGTGTGGCGAGAATCTAGGTGGCTTGATAAATTTTGTCGGGAAAAATGAGCCAGACCAAGTCACGCTAACTATGCGTGATTGTCTCACGCACACATTTGAATGGACATCGTCTCTATGTGCTGGACAAATATTAGATGCTTCAAATCACCAAATTACTCGTTGAAAACTCTTGATGAATGTACTTCGATTGATCCAAACGTAATTTAAGACACTAAGTGAAAAATTGAGAATATATGTCGATTTTTTTCATGCGAAGGAAAGATTGCTTTTTCTTTTCTGCACCATACAAGTTGACTACGAATTTCCATAATAAAATTGAGATATCGTTTCTGGTTCGCTAAAACACAATAGTATTCTCTGCTAACCTAGTATCATATATCGAAAATTCCCATTTTGGTTATGTCTTACCAAATTCATTAGCCCACTTCCTTTCGAGTTTTGACGCAACTTGGAAATTATTACAATTTTATTTCACTCTCCCGGCTAGAAGTTGTATCGATTTTTGTTTCGACTGGTGTGCTATGCTGTAGGCGGAATTACGGCGAATTTGTGTAATTAGAGATCGATAATTTAGTTAGAAATATCATAAAAAAGTAAATTTTCTCCGAGAAACAAATAACAACGTAGCATTTTAAGGATAGATGGATATCAAGTTGCTTCACCAAAATTAAATTACTATAAAGTAGGAAATTTTAAATTTTGATAAAATAGAATTTTCGGATTAATTTGAGTCAGAAGTCTGTATTCTGCAGTGTTTTCATATTTAAAAAAGAGAATTTCGATTCAGCTAGTGTAATAATACCCATGTTGTGCAAAGTGCACGTCTATATGATGGTTTGAAATGCTTTAAAAATCTTCCAAACCACAGCCAGTAAATACTGCATTATTTTAGCCATATTTAGTTAAACAAAAAGATTTTTCAGTTTAATTAAGTTGAAGCAATTAGGGAAGGAATTTCGAGCTCTTTAGAGGGAAAATTTTTGTGATAGGTGTGAATAACAGTGAGGCGAGAATTTCCTTTACCATCTGACTTCCATAACCATCGGGTTTTCGGCCACCTTTAATTCAATCTTGAAAGCGTCAACTATTTTGCCATCTTCAAATTATGATGGAAATTTGAAAGAACTCCCACTGGCATTCTCTCAAAGTACAGAAACAATTTTACAATTTTCGTTTAAGCTTTGGTGGCCTCCAGGCCAGTACTTCCTCATCTGGCAGTGTCTTCAAGATCGAAGTCCAATAACGATTTCTCTGGTTCTATGCACATGTACAAAACTTGTCTATTGAAATTCAATTTTAGATTTGTGCTAGATAAAGATTAAAAATTGTTTTCAGCAACACTAACGAGCATGGTAGTTATAATGAGACACGTGCAACTAAGGCTTTTCTTCCATATTCAAATCATTTGGGTGTCTGGTGGGGGGGGGGGGGGGGTCGGGGAGATTGAATATAATTTAATTAGCCCTCACTATTTCTTGCCTTTTAAATAATATGCAAGTTATCAACTCACAATGGGCTCAGGAGTCAGTCGTTTTGGCAGTTAGAAAGGCCATTAAAACGACCTTTTAAAAATTGATGTCAGGCCAGTGTGGTCTGCTTCTGCCGTGTAGACCAAAATAGCACACAACCCTGAACTTTAAATTAAGTGGGATCCTATCACACAGTTAGGTCAATTAGGTCTTTTTCTGCATGATGATAGAGTTAAACTGTGAAGGAGACTTTAAAAATGAATAAATTGCTTAATTGCGAAGAAGGAGTTTCTTCTCAATCACCCGGGATGTAGTGGGCTTTTAATCCAGATGAAATTATTTGGTTCATAAATCTCGAATGTGTAATAGAGTTCAGAGGCATAATTTAATCATGTAAAAGTTGATTCATTGACGGTGGGTGGATGACAGTGTCGATTTAAACACGCACACACACACATGGACGCTAACGGTGGATTTTATTTTTTGAAATTATCTGCACAACATTAATTCTTTCCATTGTATTGCTAGAAAAAAGAGCGATAATTTATTCTACCCTTTGAGAGTCTTATGAGGACAAATTAAATATTAAATATTTATCTTCAAAGAAAAAGAACTTGTGACACCCATTCTTCTCACCCTAACCTTCCTCCTACAACAACTCAACCCACTGTCAAAAAACGCCCATCAATAGCACTCCATCCCAAACCTTGAAAGATTCTGGACACCTTTCCATTCCTACATTCAAGTCCACGCCCTCAAAACTGACAGTCCTGCCAATTCACTATTGCGAGTATCTAGACCCCATGTTTTATACATTTGCTGTTGGCGAAGGGCTATTTTCAAAATACGTGAAATAGTAAGAAGCGATTTTTTCTGACTATTTCACGTTCTGACTACCTACTTTCTCTATGGGGCGCATTGTGGAAGACACAACGCTAAAAGGGCTGAACCAAGAAGTTTCATGCGCGCCCGAGCAGTCTGCAAAGTACGGGAGTGATTCTGTTAGCTCCATGGAGCAAGCGAGATTGTGAGCACAGAAGCCTCTCAGTCAACAACAATCAATAATAATTGCTGGGTCAGTGTACTAAAAGTTGTAGTCATTAAATAAGGTCTGTGCCAGTGTCATCAACATGCTCATAATTACTGTAACCCCAATGAATTCATTCCATGTCAAGGTAACTTAGCGAACTTTGGAAGCATTTTATACAAGGGGCTTTTGGCATAGAGACTGCTGGGGTTAAGTCAAAGCTTATTGGTATAGCAGAGATCTTCTTATTCTCTCATGATATGACAAATTTAAAGCATTTGTTCTATTCAAAGATGTCAACCTCTAAAAAATTTAAGGTTTCTTTTATTTTTTTAAGGATATACCAAAGTCGGTGGAAAGCAGTAGTACGGGAACTTTATTTATGATACCTATCATAACGCCTAGCGTTTTGATTTTTATCATTAGTCCTTTGGCTGGCTTCGGCTTCACAGAGGGGAAGGAACATCAAAGTGGAAAAAAAGTCGAGATGGGGGGGGGGGGACAAAAGAGTGCTTCAAAGACGAAGGTGGGAAAAAGGTGAGGTGAGTACTGTGGAAGATGTCGAATATGACATACAGTGGGGTGGTGGTAGTATGAAGTCAGAAGTC